GGGGGCCACGTCCAGTGAAGAGCAGCGAGCCGTGCCAGGACTCTCTGCCCTGGGTGACCCCACGGGCCCTGCGTCTGCAGGGTGTGCGAGCTCTTTGCCTGCAGCCTTCTAGGGTGCCCCCTCCTGGTGGGTGGGGCAAGAGGAAGGAGGCCTCTCCTGTCTGCTCGGTGTTTTATTTGGAAAAACTTCACCCTGACAGGGAACTGGGAGGTGACCTGCATGATGCCACCTTCTCCCCTGGGGGGCATTCTGCTGGGTGGCCCACCCCCCTTACCTGAAGCCCGAGAGTCACGCAGAAGGCCTGAGTCCATGGAGGGCGGTGACCCCATGGTGCCTTCAGCCCCTGCTGCGTGCTGTGTGGAAGTGGGGCCCGGTCAGAGCGGTCACCACGTCCCTCACACCCTGTCCCAGAACGCTCCAGCCGTCCTGGCCTCACACACCATGGGCACTGTGGGAACAGCACCTCGGGTGGCCTGGCTCTCCCTTGTATGTCCGGCTGAGTTTGGGGCAGGATTCCAGGCCCGAGACACTCTGTCCTCTCCCCTGTGCACAGACTGTGGAGCCTCAGGCTGAGCCTGGGCAGCGTCCCTGCCGTGGGTCGGGCTGGGCCTGGGCAGCGTCCCTGCCGTGGGCCAGGGTTAGGGTGCACGTGCTCCTGGGGTGCAGCAGCCTCTTCGCCCCTCTACTTTGGCAGAGGGAAGAGGGAGCCGGGACCCCTCGGCATGGCCGTGCTGCAGCCCCTTCTCCATTTCCGTCCGGGCGAGGTCTGGGCCACATGCACACGGCGTTTCCCAAGCTACTGGGGTGGGACTGGAGCCTCAGGGTTGGTGTGTGGGGCCCAGCCGTCTTCACCGCCAGGCCGTGAGCTGGCCCCGCCAAGAGCGGCGACAGGCACCAGCCTCTTGCCCCTGGCTGACGCCCATCTGTGGCATAGTCACCGTCCTTGGCTGGTCCCGCTTTACTGCTCGCTGCCTGGCCGGCCTGGTGCTGCTGACCCGCTCCGTGGGTCTTGGTGCTGGCTTCTGTTCGGCTCGGTTCTCCGCCTGCTTCTTGGGCGGTGGGTCTCATGCTGCCCCTCCCATTGCGGGCTGGGGGTGCTGCCCCTCCCTGGGGTAAGGGGCACTTTGCAGAGATCATGGCGGCATTGGGGCAGGGGCCTGCGACCGGCCAGGTGAAGGGACTGTCGGCACCGTCGTCCCCCGGGGAAGGGCAGGCAGGATAGCGCCCCAGCAGGACAGTAACAGCGGGGTGGGTAAGCAGGTCCAGGTGGCACATCTAACACAGACCCAGTACAGGAGCGGCATGCCAGGGTCACGGCACCGCCCACATGAGGTCAGAGTGCACCTGGGGCGCGGGCAACCCCCGGGCAGTGGTACCGATGCTGTTCCTAACCGTGTGTTTCTTCTGCAGGCCTCAGGCCCAAGCCCAGAGCCAAGTGAGCGTCTCCACCGCCCACCCTGGCACGGCCGAGGGCTCTTCCAGGGCCAGGCTGGGACTGGGACCCTGGAAAACCAAAACGCTGTGCCTTACCCAGCCAGAACGCACAATCTGGGCGACCCCGCCTGGCCCCGTCTGACCCCGCCTGGCCCCTGCACGTGCCAGCTGCCATGGTCTGCTTTCTAACTGCCTGCACCCAGCCTGTTCCGGCATGCGCCGGGTGCACCGGGCGCCCTAGGCTGCAGGGGCAGGGCCCGCGCGCACCTCTGCACCCCTCCCTGGGTACCCGCACAGCAACCCCTTCATGGGCAGCCCTGCGCAGGCCCACCCCTCCACAGCCCCTCCACGGCTGCTTTGTCACGGAGGTGCCTCAGGGAGCCTTTGCCAAGGTGGGAGTGAGGGGACTCAGAGACAGGCCAAGGTCCCTACGTCTGTCTACCCTCCATCCCCCCAGCAGCCCGAACCTGGTTGTCATTTCAACAGAAACCACTCTACCCCCAGGGCCACCTGCCTGGCCTGGAGGGCACCAGAGGGCTGCAGAGGATGTGGCTTCTGCCCCTCACTGGGGTCCCCTGCCGAGCCTGGCCTCCCCAGGTGTGTGTGAGGCCCCGGCTGGCAGGCCTTAACCAATAAAGGCCGGACTCAGCCCGCACACGCTGTCATGTACAGGCTGGGGGCTGGGCGGGACCTCAGGGCGGCAGCTGTGCCGGCGGGAGCAGTGGGCAGGCCGGTGGCTGGCTGCCTGGTGGGTACGGGAGGGCTGCTGGGAAGAGGACCCACGTGGAGGTGGCTGTTGAGAGGGAAGGGCACGTGTCCCCCATGTCCACCAGCCCCCCCTTGCCCCTTGGTCCAGGCTGGGCTCCCCCATGTCTCCAGGGCCTCCCAGGAACGGCCCCACCAGGCAGCTGGCTGCGTCCTGGGCGTGGTCTCCCCCTGTGACTGGCAGAGGGTGCTCAGCAGACACTTGGGCAGACCTGGAGAGCCTCCATAGCACTGTCTCAGTGAGCAGCTGTCACGGCGGGAGCGGATGACCGTGGAGGCCAGCTTCTAGATGCTCCCTGGGGAAGGCAAGCAGAGAGGCTCCCGTGCTAGGGCACATGGGACAAGGACCAGCAAGGACAGTGCTTCCTGCCCGCCCCCCTCGGACACAGCTGTGTCGCTGCACTCAGCCCGTGTCTCTCCCCTGCAGCTGGGCAGCCTGCTTCTCCCAGAACCTCTGACCAGTCAAAGGCGCATGTGCGAGACCACAGCCTGCACGGCCCGTGGGCTTGAAACCCGCCCAGAACTCAGCCTTCCTGGCTCACCACTCTCACCCTCGCCCCAGCAGGCATCTGCCCCGGCCCTGCTCCCCAGAAGGCCGCTCCTAGAGGCCCCACCACATGTCGCCAGGCTCTGGACTACTCCCCAGCTTGGGGCTCACCCGCTGCACTGACCACGCTGTCACCCTTCAGACAGGACGCTCACGCGACCCTCCCCACGGCCCCGCCCCTGGGACCTACAGATCACTTCCTGTCTGCATGCGCATATTCGCCCTCACACATGAAGGGAACCACATGGCATATCTCCCATGGGGCTCCTCTCGCAGCACGCTGCTGAGGGCCAGCACAGGTGGCACCAGGCCTCGTGTCATTCCCCGTGGGCCGTCACGAGTGGCTGCAGCCTCCCGTTGGCCTTGAAGGTAACGGTGCCGAGGATGCGTACCTTGCACCTTCCTGTAGCCCTTGCTGACGGGCAGAGCGTCGGGTTGGGTGTCCAGGTTGTGCAGGACTTTGTAAGGAACCCTGCTGCCCCGCAGCTGCCCATCTCACCTGTCCCCACAAATCTTCAAGGAAAGGGCACTGACGAACATGGTCAGGGCCACTGCCTGTGCCCCTGGGGTAGGTGCTGGCCGGTCAGTCCTACCGGAGCAGACAGGCAGGTGAGGCCACGGCGGCCTGCTTGGAGGTGGGGGCTTGCTGCGATAACAGGTCAGCGGAGTCACAAGCAGCTGAGGAGCGGAGGCACACAGGCGTCAGCACGGAGTGGCCATGATGGGAGGTCACTGCGGGAGTTGGGGTAGACATGGGGCTGGAGGGCTCAGGGAGGGGATTTGGGGCGCAGCAGCTGCTGTGCAGGCCAGAAATGAGCCGAAGCGAGCGGGACAAGAGGGCCGTGGGAGGGTCTGTCTCCACACGAGGGAACCTGAACCTCAGTGCCCACCAGGAACCCCAGGAGAGCGTCCTGCAGCCATCCCTGGGGCGGTGCTGAAGACCCAGGGGCACAGCTTGGAGACCTTCCTGGGAAGCCAGCTCTGGGCCAGCAGTACCCGAGATGGGGGTCAGGGGACATGCTCGGCATGTCCCTGGGCTTTAGATGGCCCTGCAGAGCCACACCGCTGAGCACTGGCTCCCCCAGCCCAGGACTATAGATAGCTGGGGCCTGGCTGAGGGGTTGGGCTACTCTAAAAATAACCCTGCCCAGGCCCAACAGCGAGGGCCCTGCCAGTCACAAGGCCCAGCCCAAATTAGAACACCCCACCCGCCCAGGCGTCGCCAGGGAGGTGGGCAGCACCAGGAGGCCTCCTCCAGGCTTTGCCATCCCAAAGGCCCTCGGGGTACGTGGACTTACTCACCTGTGGCCCCCACTCTAGGGCCACACCACACATGGGGCCGTGCTGTGCACAGTGGCCTAGGACATGCAGACACCCGCCCTCTGGCTCCTCTTCCCCCTGCTCTCCTCCCCATCCTGCTCCTGCAGCTTCCAGGGTGGGTGGCTGGGGGTCCCGGCCTACACCACCAGCCAGCTGGCACCCCTGGAGGCACCGAGGAGGCTGAGGATGAGTACCATACACACCGGCCACCTCGTTCCGAGGACAGTGGTCACAAAGCTCGAGGCCCCTGACCGCCGTCACCTGAATTATGGCATCTGCCCTATTACGGCACTGCCGAGGGCCAGTCTGTCCTGTGTGAAGGAAGAGGGGCCCAGAGCCCATGGGGCCACCCATGGTCACCCATGCTCAGAACACATGGAGGCCCCTGTCCTCTGGGCGAGGGGCAGGGCCAGCCCAGGAAGCCACAGGGGGCCAGGCAGGCCTTAGCTGCATTGGGGCAGCTCCCCCCGAGTGACCTTTGCTGTCCCAAGACAGCTCTGCTGCCTGCCTCTGGCCGGGGAGCATCCAGTCTCCCTGACCTCCTTGTCAGCACCTGGTAGCTCCGAAGTGAACACTGGCCCTTTGGGCTGAGGGCCCCAGGGAGAGAAAGAGTAGCCCAGCCTCCCAGCCTGGACTGGCGGCTCTCTGCCCCCGGCACTTTCCCCTTCTCCAGCCAGGGGCAGCCCTGTCCATGTGACAGGGCAAGAGGACAAGGGAGCACGCCCAGCGGGGGACATAGGGACCCCTAGGTGGGGGACGCTTGAGAATTTGGGGCCTGTATGCATAGCTGGGGACAGCCCCTTGGAGCAGGTGACCCTGACAGCACAGGCCCCTTTACCCAGACCCAGAGGAACTCCGTGTAGACAGCTGCCTGGTGGGAGGCTGCGGGACACCTGGGGGGCGGGGCGTGCTGTCCTAGGCCAGGGTGAGTGGCCTGTGTCTCCTCAGCCAGCAGGGGGTCCATCCCGTCCCAGGGAGTCACTGGGCAAGTGCGTGGTGTGAGCAAAATGCAAGGACCCTCCAGGTGGGATGCAGAAACGTAGCTCGTAGCTCCCGTTCTGCAAGCTACACCCCTGTCAACCACCCGGCAGTTTCCAGAATTCCGCATTCCCGCCCAGCATGGCCCGGTCGCCCCGGGGGCATCCGCCAGGCCGGGTCGGCGCGCAGGCGCTGTCTCCGGGAGGGCTCCCGGACTCCGCCCGGCTTGCCTTCGCGGGCCGCCTGCCCGGACCGGCTGCCCGCACCGCGCAAGGCCGCGCCTCCACCCGCGGAGCGTCCCAGACAAAACAGGGCTCGGGTGGCAGCGAAGAGGGCGGGGAACGGGCGGCCGGAGGTCACTGGGCGCGTCACTGCACCCGCCCCCGGCCCGCCCCCCGGTCCGGGCCGGTCCATTTAATGGCGCGACCGCGAGGACCGCGACGGGCTCTCGGGCGGCCCGGCGCAGCAGAGGACCCCAGCGAACATGTCGGGGACCAGAGCCTCCAACGACCGGCCCCCTGGCGCGGGCGGCGTCAAGCGCGGGCGGCTGCAGCAGGAGGCGCTCCCGCGTGACCGTGGTCCTGGGCGCGCAGTGGGGGGGGGAGGGTAAAGGCAAGGTGGTGGACCTGCTGGCCACGGACGCCGACATCATCAGCCGCTGCCAGGTGGGCGCGCCGGGTCCCTCCCTCAGGGGTCCTGCAGAGCCTGCCAGCCAGTGCCCTGGGCCTCCGGGGCCACCACACACATACAACACTCACAGCCCGCCCTCCCTGCATCCTCCCCCCAGGGCAGTGGCAGGGCAGAACTATAAATACCAGTAGCTGACTTGGGGACACCCGATCCTAGGGCAGGGGAGGTCCATGGGAATGAAGCTGCCCCTCCCTCCGTGGAGGGCCGTGGGGGTGCAGCTCCAGAATGGTGGGAGGGCCCCCAGCCATCTTCCCTTTCTCCTTGTGCGGTGGGTGCTGGGGGTGGCCTGGTCTGGGCGCGCTGGGGGATTGGGCCAAGCCTAGGGGAGGGCTGAGAGCTGCTTGCTGGGGGTGCGACCCTGGGGGCCGCTGAGAAGAGGAAGAGGGTGGAGTAAGGATGTTGGGGCCTGAAGGAAGGTGTTCAGGAGGGTCGCAGCCGGACTGTGGCCAGAATGACCCAGGGCTGGCGGTGGCACCGAGGAGCCTGACAGCTCTGTCTGCCAGCGGTCAGCACTCTTCTGCCCTGCCCTGGGTCCTGGGCCCACCTCGTGCCTGGGGCCGTGTGCTGGTGCAGCTGGGAGCGGGGCTGGGGGCTGCCTCCTGCACAGGCTCCTGGCTCTGGGCCTCCGCTCAGCTCCCAAGCAGAGAGCAGAGGCTCAGAGCAGGCCCTGGTCAAGGCGTCAGCCCCCCGTTTGGCTCTGGGCTGTCGGAGCTACTCCTGCCCGGGGCAGTGCTGCTTGGAGCAGTGAGTGACCTCCCACCACTCCATCTGCCTGAGGCTTCCCTGCGATGTCCCTTCAGACCCCGGTGCCGGCATGCGACGGGCATCCCCTGCAGCCGGGCTCGCATCTGCCCCCATGTTGTCCCCAGCACCTGGCAGCCACAGCCCCCATCCCTCCTTGGGCCCCTCTGACGGAGCTTCACAAGGCGCCTCCCACGACACGGCTCCGCTCCTTGCCGTGACCCGAGGCCTTTGCAGTGCCCTGGATGGCGGGCGGCAGGCTGCGCGGGGCTGCTCCTAGCTGTGGCGATGGGTCTGGGACAGGCCTCCCGGCTCTGCCAGCTGGGTCAGTAGCCCTGGCTGCTCTTAGACAGGATCAGTGGAGGGCAGAGCTGCTGGAACCGCAGACTCAGGCCCCATCCGGCCCTCTCCCCTAGCCTAGAAGACCCAACACAGAGGCCTGTCCTGGGGCAGGTGGTGTGTCCTCCCCTGTGGCCTCTGACCCGCAGTGAGATGGCCCCACGCCGTGTCCACCACAGCACCAGCCTCCGTCCACACCCCATGGCCGGACCTCCCAGGCTCCACCGGGTCCCTGACAGCCCCTCCTCGAAGGCCGGGATGCTAAGCCTTCTCTCCAGGCACCCCACCCCTGCTCATTGCATCCAGGGCCTGGCCTCCTCTCCTCCCTGGCAGAGCCTCTGTGCCTGCCTGGGGTCTCCCAGCATCCCGCCCATTCTCTGGGCCTCATCCCTGCTGACACCTTCGGGAGTGAGGTTGGCACTGACGCCAGGTGGCCAGCCCTCCCTGCAACGCTGGACAGAGGAAGGGCAGGAGGCCACGTGAGCCCTGCGTGGGTGTGGCAGGGGAGCAGGCTCCCTGTCTGGAGGGTCACCTGGAAGGGCTGGAGCCGGCCAGCCGCTGTGACCAGCCAGCTCTGCAGCCGAATGCTGGGCCTCTCCGGCCTAGGGGGTCACCTGGCCTGTGGCCAGAAAGGGGCTGACCCGAGTGGACTGTCTCTCATGCTGCCCTGGCCACTGGATGGCACAGGCCGTGACCTGCCACCCATTGACTCTCCATGGCAGCAGGGGACATGGGAGAAGCCCCAGCCTTTGTGGTCACGGCGCTTGCCGCGTGGCACTGCCCACTCGCTCCGGGCTGCCCCAGCTCAGCTGCTGCCCTGGTCCCTGCCCAGCTAGCGCATCTGGGCCATGGCCAGAACGCCCTGCAGGGCCCGCGGGACCTTCCTGGCCTCCCCACGTGCCAGAGCCCTGCTTGGGCCTCCCTGTACACTCCCTCACCTGGGGCTTTCCCCAAGTGGTCTGTCCTCCCCCGGGCCAGTCCTTCCACCCTGGGCAGCTCTGGGGCTGCTGGGGACTGCGCCTAGGCGTCTGGTTCCCACGTGCCGCCTGCTGCGCCTCTTCCTGGCCTGGTGTCCAAGCTCTGCAGCCACATCATGGGGCCCGGGCACTCTATGCCTCCATCCTGGGGCCTGTGGGCTTGCCCCTCGCACACGTCCCACCCCACCCTGGGAGTCGCAGGTGCCCTGCAGCAGTGTCTCCCGCTTCCCTCCCCACAGACAGGCACCTCTACCCCTCGTCTTGCTCCACTCCCAGCTGCAGCCTCGCCCCATGTAGGGTAGCCCACTCTGCTGGTGGCTCCTTGTCCTCTTCCAGGGCTCCCTAGACTACGAGGCTTAGCATGCCATCGGGGCTGAATTCTCGCTTCCAGCCACAGTACCGATGGCCAGGGCACTTGGCTGCCCAGCCGGGGTGCCATGGGTGCTTTCTCTGGGCTTCCACCATCCGCTCATGGTGGTCCCCACTCCCCGACTAGCTGGGCCTCAGGCAGGTGGCAGAGAGCTACAGCCATGGCCTGGGGCGTCACCCGGGAGTTCCGCAGTGCAGAGTCCCCAGGTCGGGGCTGACATCTTGCATGCTGGAAGCGATGTGCAAGGCGTGTGGGGGCAGGCGTGTGCAGGGTCCAGGCTGCTCCGGGGACCTCATGGCACAGGAGGGGCAGCTGCCTCATGGCCGGAATGCCTGGCATGCTGCAGATGCAGTCTTCCGCCACACTGCCCATGGCACTGGTCACCGGGCAGCGGCTCTGGGGAGAGGCCCCCCCGTTACTGCCTGCACTTCTGTGGGAATGTCAGTGCCTCTGCCTGTGGCTGCGCGGGGACCCAGGGGTCGGAACCATCTGGGAAACAGGGTCCCTGCTGCTCACTGCTCTGCTTCCTTCGCTCCTGTGCCAGGGCTGGGCAAGGGCACAGAGGCAGGAATGGCACTGGTCACCGGGCAGCGGCTCTGGGGAGAGGCCCCCCCGTTACTGCCTGCACTTCTGTGGGAATGTCAGTGCCTCTGCCTGTGGCTGCGCGGGGACCCAGGGGTCGGAACCATCTGGGAAACAGGGTCCCTGCTGCTCACTGCTCTGCTTCCTTCGCTCCTGTGCCAGGGCTGGGCAAGGGCACAGAGGCAGGAGAGCCAGTCCCCGCCCCTAGCCGCCTGCTCCCCG